GGGGGGGGGGGGGGGGTTATTATTGGTCACTCCATGAGTTTAGTGTGATTCACCCCTGTACTACTCAAACTCAAGCAAAGCTTGTGTTTTATTTTTCTTTCAGAGGGTTTTGGTTTGCTAGTTTTCTGGTTTACAGTGGTTTAGGGTGCGTTGGTGATTAAGTAGGCTAATCTTTCTTCTGAATTCCTTTGTCATTTGTGATTAGGAAATTCCTGGGGTTCTGCACTTGTAAGCACATTGTGTAATCGGGCGTCCATTTGTGTGTGCACATAGATTAAATATAAAGCATATCAAAGTAAGTTACCCTCGTATTCGTTCTCCATTTCATGCTAATGAGGTGGTTGGACAGTTTCTACGATAATTAATATGCCTCAATGTCAACAAGTTGGGGGTAGTTTTATGATTCTTCATGGTCCATATTATGCAAAATAAAATGGTTAAAGGATTTCTTAGTGGAAAAAAAATGTGATGATGTTACACCAACTGCTTGGCTCTATTTTATTCAAGTGTTTTGGAGAAATATGTCAGGATATGTAGAAGGGAGTACTATATGGAGATTGACTGCCAGCGTAAATTCCCAACTGGATGTAATTGCTAAGAAGAGATGCATAGCTCCCTTCCTCATGCTGATTATATTGACTAAAGGGAGAGGAATGGAGGACATACAGGATTTAACAGGAAGAATTTTTAGTCTTGTGCCTAGATAAGGTACCTTAATTATCATGGCTGAAATCGGAATTAAGAAAAAATACATGTCTGAATAAGGTGCTTTAATTTCTATTAGGTCTCTGTTTGCATATTGATAGGTGAATAGCCAATACACGGTGAGGCATCATAAAGTAATTCACTTTAACGATGTTAATATGTAATGCTTCTGGTACCCTAGATTGTGCAGGCTATGTCTCTCCTTAAAACTTATTTTTGAAATAATATTGCATTATTAGTTAAATGCTTATGAAGCTCTCTTTCGCTTTGCTGCAACTGATAACATTTTCATGTTAGTTAGAATTATCCAACTTGCAAACCACTAAGATATTAGCTGTAGTTAATCATTATCACTAAATTTAAGGCTCTTGGAATTGGAACATTAAAGTATGAAGCTTTGCAGCAAGATCACAGGATAAGATGCACCTGTAAAGGTGGAAAAAAGAAAAGATCACTAGATTAACATATGAATTTTGTTATTGGTAATCTGATACACTGATAGGATCATCTGTGTTTCTTTAGGATAAAAACTAGATGAAGTTAGCGTCTGATTGATCCTTTGTGATGGTAATATACTTTTCAAAATGTCTGTTAACGATGTCACATCTTCTATTTGGGCTTAAAAGTTACTAGTATGCGTTATTGCTGCGGTCTGTTTGTCTTTGGTTTTTCTCTGTACTCCATGTATTCTTTTTTCTCTGTCTTTATCATGTTTATTGTTAATTTCTATGTACTTCATTCAGCCATAGAGAAAAACAGATGTACTTTGCTGGTATTCTTATGTGATATATCATCAGCTTGTGACATAAATTGGGAATAACAGTTTGGCGCCTCAATAAAGAGAAGAATTCATTTTCCATTTATGCGCTCCGATGGACTATTGGAAATCACATGCTACTGGTGATTTGGCCAAACATCTTTAGTGCAAGGGATCTGCTTCACTAGTGGTCCAATTGCATGTGTGGATGGTAGACCTAACCCATCTATTTGTTACTCACCTGAAGCTAGATGGTTAAGGTTAGTGATGATATTAGGGACAGACCAGAACTGGCGTAAACTCGTAAAGACATTATCTTTTATCAGTTTTATGACTTTATCCGGTATATGATTTGGGAGTGAAGTTTCTAAGATTATATGATTTTCTTACAAATAAGCTTTTGGTGGCGGATTACTAACCATTTAGGCAACTGACGGTTATAGTAATTTTTGAATCTTTTGCAGGTTTGGTTATTTTTAGAATTTTTTCTATTCACTTGGATTGCCTTGTTTGACTCTCATCTCATGGAGCTTTGTTTAGCTTGAAGCTGTAATGTTTTACCTCTCTCCAGTAATTGTTTACTTGAAGGAATTACTTTGATTTGTTTCACTTTCGAAATCCTTGTATGGTAATATGAGAAATTTTAGGGCTTGGTAATATGAAAAAATGTATATGGGTAAAGAGCGAATCTTTCCTATTTTAGGTTTTCAAGATACTGCTGTTTCTAAACAATTCATTATACATATTATTCTTTCACTGCGTTGAAGGGGTGTCTTGGAGCAATGATAAACTTATCTCCGTGTGACCTATAGGTCACAAGTTCGAACCGTGGAAGCAGCCATTAATGCTTGCATGAGGGTAGGTTGTTTACATCAAGCCCTTGGCGTGCTGCCCTTCCTCAATAAGGGTTGCGGTCCTTCCTCAGATCCTCTGTGAGTGCAGGATGCTTAGTGCACCGAACTGTCATTTTTAATTCTTTATATGTGTCAGATAACTATAGTTCCTCATCCTTAGCACCTATAATTGTCACCCTTATACCTATCCCTATTAGTTAAGGTATCCGGCTTTCTTCCCTTCAAGTTTTAGATTGCAGTACTATTCCTTGAGTGCTGCCTAAACTTTTACCTACAGCCTACAGGTAAGCAGGTTATAGCAAAAGACTGCTGTTATTGCTTAGTTTGAATACCTAGTACCAGTGGCTAACAACTTAACCGATGAAACAATGCCATTTTAGGAGTAACTATAGACGAATGTGATGCCCCCTAAAATAATTGCATGCTTTTGCAAAATTGTGTCACCTTGTGTGGTCGACGCTTCTTGCAGGCCTGGAGGTGATTTTTTGTGCACAACACGAAACTTTGTGTAAACAAATTTTCATTTATTTATTTATTTAACTATTTTGTATAGAAGTCTTTTTTCTTCGGAAAAGGTCAAATATGTCCTTATACTATTTGAAAAAGGTCTAATATTACCCTCCGTTATACTATCAATCCAAATATACCCCTAACGTCATACTATCGGTCTAAATATATCCCTGACATCATGAAAGTGGTATAAACTTACCCTTCCTCCGTTAACTGCCTCCCCTATGAACACATTTTATTGCTACCAAGTTCAATTACTTTAAAGTTCTATCATTATTTTGAAGACTTCATTGCCTCTATTTCCTCTTGCTTTTCAAAATACATGTTGCTTCTCCGGCCGATCCTGGAATTGTACGTACCTTTCACTTGATCTTACAATTTTGTGTTTTATTTTGCATTTCCTTGTGTTGCCGCTGAATTTGTAAGACCTATTTAGGGAAAATTTAGTAGTATTTTTATTTTAACATAAAATGTAAAGAGAGAAAAAATGGTAGCCTTCCAGAAATGTGGTTGAAGAGAAAGAAACAAAAAAAATTAACTCTCGTGTCTAGGTTGGTTTTCTTTCTCACCATGGTCAATTTTGAAACCTTAAACTAGTTTGCCTGTATCTTTGCTTAGTTTTTTATATAAAACAAAATGTATTTTCGTTCGTATAAGCATGAATTTTGAATAACAAAATCAGAATTTTCTCTGTTCACGTTATTTCATATTATCTTTAGCTGTTAGCATTTCTTTTGATATAGTTTGTATATCTATGATCTGTGATTTTCTTCAAATGAAAGGGAAAGAAAGGTTGTGGGGAAGGGATGAAAATGGGAGTATAATGGTAAGGTAGCAATGAAATGTTGTTAGGGAGGCAGTTAACTGAGTAAGGGTAGGTTTGTACCACTTTTATGATGTCAGGAATATATTTGGACCGATAGTATGACGTTAGGGATATATTTGGACTGATAGTATAACGGAGGACAATATTAGACCTTTTTCAATAGTATATGGATATATTTGACCCTTTTCTGTTTTTCCTTTCGTTGGGCCATGGCGGCCAGTGCTCCTAAGATCATAGGAGCAATGCTGCATAATAGAACCTTTTGATTGAGTAGTTTGATGGAGTTTTGACTGAATCTATAAACCCAGGAAGTTGCCTTCGTTGGTACTTTCTTATTTTAATGACAAAACTAATTAATGACAAAAAGTAGTGATACTTGTCTGAAGTGATAAGCCTCGAGTGATTTACTTACCGACATATGTGCAGATATAAATTGGGGAAAGGCACGTTCTCACCTTTGTTATTCAAATTATTTTAAGTGTAATTTAAGATAATAAAGTTGTTTAAATAGTCATATGTTAGAGTAAGTCATTATTGCAATTCGGTTTTTTATGTAAAAGGAAAAGCTGTAATGTTTCCCACACAAATATTGTTCACTAATTAATAGAGCATCAGTACAATACGGTTAAACAGGCATCTCCAATTTCTCCTATGGCGTGACACCTTTTTGTACCCCGTTGAAGGAGGCATTATCATATATTACTGTTACTGGTCTCCGGACCCCCTCCCCTCTCGAAAAGTGATAAATAAAAAAAATAAAAACTAGCTGAAACATAACTCGAAAGTGGGCAAATGGAAAAAAAAAATTAAACTTCTTTGCTATCGTTTTCTTGATATTTAGAGGAAGCTAATTGGCATATTTGCAATTCCAATTTCGAGAAAGCTCTAAAAATTTACGTATATTTTATTTTTGCGAGGTTTAGCTGGAAGATTAGAAAAGAAAAATGAAGATCAAACTAAATATGATCCATAACCATCTCTAAGTAGTCGAGCTTTTAAAACAAAAGAAAGGAAACCAAAGGGGAAATGAAAAATAGAACAAAGAAATTCAGGATATGAACTTTGGGTAGATATAGTATACAAACACAAAAATCTCTTGTAAGCTTTATTGTCGGTTATACTTAGTCAACATCTGTCTCTAAGGTTAGAACACATCAGAAGCACGTCCAAATAACAAGGTTATTAATCTTTGTCAGTTTCCATGATAAGATTGGTAAGAAACTACAACATGTCAAATCTGAAGTTTGGACTTGGTGTGTATGGCACTAGAAGGAAAACAAAAGAAACAAGCATTTCAACTTTGATTACAAACACTCTATTTTCCTTTCATTTTTAACCAAAATATTTTCCAAATGCCTACTTTAAGACTTTGAAATGAGACAAAGCATGCCAAAATAGAAGTCATGTTGATAGCGCATGCTAGCCAACACATTGGCCCACTGTAGCATTTCGTCTACTTTGCCTTGCTATTTTCTACTGCATGTCATTTTATATGCTTTCTCTTTTTTAAGATCAATCCAATTTTCCATTAAGACCGTTATAAAATCCATCCCTCGATTGGTCAATTTCAGTCCTACGTACCATTGTCATACACCTGTCACTCCCTTTCTGTTTTATTCCTTTGCATGAACAGTTTCCTGAAATAAGAAATTTAATTGGAAAAAAAAAAGAGAACAAAACGTTATGTACTTTAATTCAATTTCCAGGTAGAATCTTTGGATTTATTCTAAATTAGAAGGTACAGATGTAACCAACTCGATTGAGGATAGATAATTTGACTTGCAAAATTAGAAAGGTGTAAGACACTACATGACAAAGTATGACCTAAATTGTTCTGAAGATAATTGTACCTTATGAATGTAGAGTATGTCTTGTTACGTTCCTTTTGTTGGATAAGTTGTAACTGTGTTATTAGTAGTTTGTCAAAGTGAACTTCTGCAAAAAGAAAACATGCCAATAACCAATTTAAGAAAAACACAGTAGCAGCTGTAGTACCCTTCTTTTTTGGGAGCTAGTGAATAAAAAAAGATAATCATTATTATGACTCTAAAGCTGAAGTTTGACGCCTAGCTCCTTAATTTATTTTAGGTCTTGGAGTATCATTACTTGAAAGATTTCATTACTCCCTCCGGTCCACAATAAATGACCAATTTGCTTTGGGCACATCCATTAAGGAAATTAAATATTAATTTCTAGACAAAAATAAATAATGCGACTAAACTACCCTTAATTAAATGTTGCAGCATAGTTATAGTAGCACTTCTCTTTCAAATGTGAGGAATAAATGACTTTTTAGGAAAACGTACATAAGACAAATTAAATTTTTTCTTGATTATATAAATGGACACTTATTTTGGACCAAAATTAAAAAACAAATTGGTCACTTATTGTAGATAGGGGGGAGTATTTAATTAGTTTATCATCCTTGAATTTGCATAATCCGGTGTCTCCAGATTTTTGTGATTTAATGCATTCCTAACATTGAGGGTCAACCAAAAGTTGAAATGGGAATTTACAATTTCCATTTAATTTAATGACTTGAGGGCCAGAGGGGCATGCTGTTTACCACTTTTTTTTAGTCCCTTTTGGATTTGTTTTTTAATTTATCTTACAAACTATCTAAACTACCAGTAATTAATTAACTTGCACATGCATTATTTTTTGGATTTAATTTATATACATGGAAAATGTAAAGGATTTTTACGTCTACCCGTGTATTTTAACTTTATATAGTACCTAGGTTATTTGCTTTGTATTAAGTTTACTATAGGAAGGAACACCTGTAGTCTACTTTAGCATGATGGTAAAAATAATTTTACATCATCATATAAATTAAGCTTTTATTCAGTTATTTCATGGTTACTAATTTTACATTATTTCAAAAAAAAAATCACTTATTATTAGTATTTACTTACATGTAGTTAAGTATTTTTTACATGACCTAATGCAAATTTTTAAAAGGTTTGAAAATGTTTTGTTTGCATGATGTACCGATTTCAGATACGTTGACTCCTGTAGAAAATGAATATATAAATAGTTTTCTTCATACAAATTTTTTTATAGGACAAACGATTGGCCTAAAACAGACAAAAACTGATCGATTTTAAGTTGAACGACGACATTCCCAAATAACATCAGGGACCAATAAGAATGAGAATGAAAGTTGGTTAAGTGTTTAAGCTGCTTCAACACGGCTCAATTTAAAAGCGATAACAACATAAACTATATATTTTGTCTTGCATCCATTTGATGTTAACTTCGGATGTGTCACACTTAAATTTACACTAATGCAATTTGAAACGAATTTGAAGTTAGTTCAAGGATGGCATGGTAGCATAAGTTTCATATGTAGCCACCTCGTAAAGTTTCATATTCGTGAAATAGTAATCCGTGTAGTTTACATAATACTTAGGAGTATATTTTAGCATGTCTATAACTTACTTTTTTTGTTTTTTCAGGTTACTAATTTCACTTATAAGGACGATGACCCATACTCATCTTTTAAATAGCTCAATATTACACTCTCGGCGTATAGTGTATAGAAGTTGAAATCTTTTTGATAATCTGTTGGAGGGTCTAAAGTTCATAGAAAATTGACCAAGTTGAAGATTCTCGCAGAAACCCCATATATTATACTATAGCTCATGAAGATAACTATTTCTAGAAGAAATAGAATACCAATATGCATGGTAAATTAAGTAAAATATTAGCGTTTCAAGTCAAAAGTATGGTTAAATACGAAATTCACCATCACATATGCATGTGTAAAGGATCGTTTATTAAATGCAATTTTTCCTCTAGCTGCTAGTTTCTTCAAGAAATCGTAGATCCTGGAACGTCCTCGCGATACTTGACAACTCCACTGGAATAGATTCTCTCACCATTTCACAAATAATACTAACTTTTACTTACATGATATTTATATATATATATATGTATATATAATAATTTCAAAGTCTACTCAATCATCCCTGAGAAAAGTATACAGTATATCTTTTCTCTGCTTTGTTTTTGGTGATATACCTGCCGATCGATCATTTGTCAAATATGCAAACGCCAGTATCAAAATCATCAGAGCTTGAACTCAAAATCTCATTCAGCTTTGGCCCTTCTGTCCTTTCACTCAGCAATAGCAGCATTCCCAAATCTGAATAATTGTGAGCTTCTTCTTCAAAGCTGGAAAGTAACCCATGATCTGCTTCATATCTACTCTCTTGTTCATGATTATCATGACTCAATTGAGATGCTACAAATTTGTCAAGTGCCCTCCAATCCCCTGTTACATTTTGGCTAGTACTATTAATAGTACTACATCGTTTATTTATCGTCTGTTCATCGTCTTCTTGATTACTATTCTCGGACACCAGTGACATGGAGCTAATTGGCCTTTTTATGAGTGGTAGAGTGGGGCTTTCTAGCTGTGGAAGCTGTACAAATTGATCAGAATTACTATAGGAAAAATTGAGATTATTGTTTTCAGCTAATTCCATCTCTTGTTTGCATAGTAGATTTTGTGCCATGAAATTTGGAGGAGGAGGCTGCCTTGTTATGTATTCAAGAGGATCTACTATTGAGCTAACTGCAGTACTTGGTTCTTCGTTGAAGTAATTTGATTCCCAACCTTCACCCATATTGGTCTTCGTTTGCCCTGTAATTTTCTTCTTAAATGCTCTACAAACCACCCATCCTTCTTCCTGCAATAGATTAATAAAGTAAATTATTAGGATTTAATTTAAATACAAAGAATTTTTATGTTATTAGTGTATTTTAATCTGTCGTACGTAGTAACAGGTTATCTGCCTTATCTATTAAGTTGCTAATCCCATCTTTTATGGATGGTTACATTTGAATCCAAAGGGGAATGTAGTATACTGAACCCCGGGTTCAACTGAACCCCGGGTTCAACTGAACCTAGTACTTTCGACGCAGAACACCAATTTATAGATAAAAAAATTAATAAATTATTAACAAATAATGGATATGAACCCATAACTTTAAGAAGTACATCGGGTTCAATGTTAAAAACGTTAAAGGTAACGAAACTCCTCGACATTGGACATGTAGTAAAGGAAAAAGAAGATAGTCAAAGGGGTTGTAGGTAAGAAGATAATTGGAACCTCTCTTTTAATTGGAAGGGCTGAACGAGTGAAAAACTCAATGACGACCATAGAAAAGCTACTTATAAGGAATTAAAGCACACTTGGTTTGCTTCAAAATTATGATGTCTTTTGACTTAGAAGGCGCTGAAAATCATCTCATGCTGCATGAATAGTTAGATTGCTAAATAAAAAAGAGTGTACATGCAAAGAACTAATGGATTACTATATTTTCCACTATCGATGTCTTTACAGATTTTTCTATCTAAAGAGGTTGATCAAATTTCCTATTTCTGAGATATTCCAGAAAAGAGACTATAGAGATATATATATAGAGATTTTATATTAATTTCCAGAGATCCAGCAGGTGTCCTTGGAAAGATATATATGAAGAAATTAAAACTGGAAATATATATACATATATATATATAAGCAATAAATTAAGTACAACTTGCCTGTGGAGGACCATTCTCGTCGGATTCGAGTCGATATTCGTGCATAATCCAGTCAGTTTTCTGGCCATTAGGTGCCCTACCCTTGTAGAAGACTAGGGTTTTCCTCATACCTATAAGTTTCAATTTATCGTACACAGCCTTGTCTCGTCCTGTAGCCTTCCAAAACCCTGCCATTGTTGCCCTATTTGTTCTCGTCCCTGTTGGATACTTCTTATCCTTGTGACTGAAGAAATACCACTCGTTCTGCTCTTCATATCCGATCCGGCATTTATCTGAAAAATAGTTCTGAATGTCAATTATTGTTTAATTGTCTTATTTAAAAGTTTAAACTGTTAGAGAGAATAACAAAATGTTTTAGATTTGTTGAGTAAGAAACCCTAGTAAACGCGAAAAAAAGACCATACCTCGCAGATCCCATGGCTCAATTCTGTATAGATCAATGTCTCTTATAACATCAAGATCAATTTTTTGTGATGCAATTTTCTTTCTAAGATAGTATCCAACGAGTTCTTCATCCGTTGGATGAAATCGAAATCCAGGTGGAACGCATGATTCGTTTGTATCCATCACCTCACTCCTGTTTATTTTAGGCTGCATAAAATTCAGCACCAATTGAGACAAGATCAACACATTAATTGCACCTCTTTTACTCCATCACCTTTATATCATAGCCGATTAATGGGGCAAGAAACAAATAGTAGCAACATTAATAAGATCTATGAAAAGTTAAAAAGGTGGCAAGTGTTTTCAGATATAATCATCAAGCCATTTGGTGGTAAGAAACACTCAAGAGTTAATTTTATCTCTACAGTTATACTAATGAACGCGGTCTAAAACCTATTTTATTTTCTCTTTCCTCTTTTTTTTTTTTTCTTTCTGCGTGCGATATGATTTTAATTTAATGGTGGGGTTAAAGAGGAAGAGATGAAAAGGAAAGAAAACCAAATGATGAGGGCTTTGCTGTCGAGGAAAACTAAGGCCTAAGGGGGAGAGTCAGCCCTTTAGACCTCTAATAGTCTCTTTGGTATTTTTCACGTCTGATAATTGAAGGAAACGGGACAAGTAAAAGTTTGTGCTAATGATGGTGTCTTGTGCAGTTGAATATACTGAATGATGGATCAAGAACGGACTCTTCAGCTCTATATTATAAACAATCCACCGTTACCCTACAAAATGGTCCTTATAGATCAGAGGATAAATAAAAAGAAAAACAATAATTTGACAAAAGCACATACTAACATGCAAAACTATACATGCCGTGTATTTAAATATTCAAAATTGTTTGTTCAAGAAAAATGAAATTTGAGAAGTATTTAACTGGCTAGAGGTATACTCCCTAGTCCCTTCCGCCGTTTTAAATAACAATGTTTGACCAAATAAAATTTAAGTAAGAAATAAAGACTTATCAAATATAACCTTAGAACTTGTGGTGGGCAAGAAAATTGTATGACTATGAGAAAATATCATTAAATATAAAATGAGAACATTAAAATTATTAATATGTTCCTAAACAAAGTATTAAAAAGGCATTGTTCTTTTAGAAAAAGGTTTAAAAAAAGTGTCGTTTAAATGAAACAGATCTAGAGAGTATACATATTTAGTGGTTAAACAGTCAAAAAAGTGTTTGTTGTCTGGTCTGTCTTAAAGAAGGTTGAGGGGTGAGAAGGGGGGGTGTTGGTGGATGACGTTAAACAAATTTAGGCACGCTTTGGTCCGAAAAGGAGAAAAGTAGGAGGCAAAAAGAAATACAGGGAAATATGTTTGATTGGATATTCAAGCCTGCCATAAAAGGGCATGTAAAGAAAGAGAAAAGGAAACAAAAAGCGATGAAAATTTTAAACGTTTGAAGGAGTTGAGCAATAATGTATGATCCCAGAGATGAACTAATCGGAACCACTATGTCTGTTTGTCTAGAATAAACTTGACACTTTTCTGACTCATTTCTTGGATAGGTGCACAGTGCGCTAGCTGGTCCATTCCCTTAATTTTCAACACAACTTAAAACGAAGCAGAATATATACTGTGTGGAATGTAATGGAAGAGATAAGGTTCTTATTTTATCTCAACTCTTCTGCAGAGTTACTTTGGTTTCACAAAATCACACAACACAAGAACATGCGTACGTGCAAAAATTAAACTGCTCCTCAAAAAACACAAACGTCTCATTGAGATGGGAAAATACGCAAAAATGGGAGACCATGACTTTGATGAGATGCAAGATGACATGACTACTCTTTACATGAAATATACGTAGTTGTTGAAGTGATAGCAAATTGTTCCGGACACGTACTGTTAGAAGAAGAAAAAAACCAGAAAAATGAGGGCCTTATGAATATGTAATCATATATTTGCATGACATGCATATATCTATTGATGTTAAAAGCTTATACCTGCAGTTTAACTTAGCTCTGTGAATGCTAATGATTGACTTTAAGGAAATGGAGATGGGACTTGGAACAAGAAGACAAATGTAGAAGACGATAGATAAAAAGGAAGTGAAAAATGAAAAGGTATGAGGAAGGAATGGAAGAGAGAGATGTGAAGCAAGTATTAAAAGAGAAGGAAGAGGGACTCGTGGGTGTGTGTGTGGGTGGGGTGGGGTTAAAACGGAGAGGGAGGACCGCTTAATTGCGCATGGGTTGAATGTTGTCCCCATTGTTGACGTCATTGTCTAGCTTCCTACAGAAAAACTTAATTTCCCTAATTCGTCTTTTTAATTATCACATAATCAGTATTTACGACTTGCGACATTTAGAGATCACTTGTATGTAGTGATACATACACTGTCCATTGACAATAATAGGTTAGTCGTGCTGATACGATATGCGGAAAGCCTGTCAATATTGTAGAGCTCCTCGTTATCGTTTTTCTTGTATCTGTGTAACAACCTACGACATTAGCCTGGTTCTTGTTACTTCTGCATAATATTTACCCAAATAGCCTCTCGATTCACTATTTACTTTTTTTAATCGATATGCATAAATTTTCAACTGATCATACATAATTATAAACATAAAATGGAAAATATATATATACACCAGCTATTTTTAGTCTAAGTAATTCTTATTTTAATGCTTTTTCTTAGTCATGTCAATTAAAAAAGGTAAATGAAGGTATTAGTGGCAAATCCAGAAATTTTGCAAAGGATATTAAAGGTTTAATATATATCTGCAAAAAATAAATTTTGACCTAGACATATAATATAGTTTTTTATATACTCAGTATAATTTTCTTATGAAGGGTGTTCAAGTGAAAAACCCTTCACTCTGCGTGGCTATTCCACCGGAAAGTGTAAGCCTTACCGTCACTTGAAAGTAATTAACTAGCACTAATAGTGTAAAAAGATCATCACACTATCCGTGCATATAACTAAACATTCTATTGATAGCTCTCGGTCCAATTTAATCGTCAACAATCACATATGCTTGAAATACTGCTAGAGCATGAGCTTAATTTACTATGGTAATATAATCATTTGTATCATTTATTATTTAGGGCTTGGTTCTAACCTTGTATCACATAGTGAATTTATGATGAAAGTGTTCATCCAAAAAGTTTCTTTGAATTTGTGACTCCTTTTTTCTTTCGGTTGATTGGGATGTAGCTTTATTTATTTATTTATAACCATTTAGTATTTGAAGCCGAATGACCTAAATAATCCAGATTCACATAGTGTTAGACCTATTAACTAGGAATGTAGTTATTTAAATGGCAAACAAATTATCCTGCCACTTTGTCCTTTTCACCACAATTAGCATACAGTATCAAAGTGAAATATTTGTTGCAATAACTGTCACATGATCAATAATATTTGCAGCCCGGCCCGTTTAGGTGAATCAGCTCCATATATTCTCAAATGGTGAAGGCGTGATGTCACTTTCAAGGGGCATTTTCTGGCAATTCAGCTGCCTTTCTTTTTCCTGAGTGTAACCAAATGATTAAAATCGACAAGTATTTCGGGGAAGGAAAAGGCAAAGGCAAAGGCAAAGGCAGAGATAGGCTTTTGGAGAAAATCAAAGTGGCTATCACCGCTTCGTCAGAATGGATACTACTTTCCGTAGAAGATAAACAAGGAATACGAAATCATAATATAAAATATTCCTAAAATCTGATGAACAGCCTTTACTTATCACCAACTATACTCAAAGGTTGCCTTCCACTCTCCACTGCCCACTCTACATCTCCACCTCCCCTTCCTGTTATATACTCCAAAAAATAGATAAATAAGAATGGATTTACTCTCTATGTACGTAAAAAAAATTACATATATATATATATATATATTTTAAGTTATTTACTTTCTAGGTTACTACATTAGGTTTACTACTCGTTATCTTTGTACAAGACTAATTTCATGTGGTGATGTAAAAAGATTATAATATACCAACAATTGCGCAGAGATTAAACTCATGTAAAACTAAAGATCCATTTTCTAATTGTGCAAGTTTTGGATAAACTTGTCAAAGTGCAAGGGCATATGTCAACTTATACTTTAGAGACGGAGTCAGGATATCGATTTTATGAATTCTGAATTATATAACGATGACTTCAAATGTCAATAACTAGGTTTTAAATTAGATTTTGTACATATTTAATGAAAATTTTAACATAAATATATTATTTGAGTAAAATCTACTAGGTTCGGCTGAATCCATATACGGGCTTCTAGCTCCACCCCAGATTTATATAGCAATACATATCAGAAATTAAACTTAATATAGGCAATAGTCATATTTCGTTATAAATAACCTAAACAAATATTTAAATTGTACAATACATAAGTTAACTCCTTCCAAATTATGCATGATCCTTCGGTTTCAATTAGAAAGGAAAAGCGGATCTGAGTTTGACAACCAAAAAATATAAACAAATCAATATTTTTCTTTTTTGTTGGTGGACCACCGTTTATCCATTTACTCGGCTTATTTTCTTTTGACTTTGGTAAGCAGGATAGCTATGTATAGGCTAACTATTGCTAATTCGCGGAATAGACAAGGAAAATAACCTACCTACGCTGCTATCCCACTCTAATTACAGAAAAATTAAAAAAAAATTCCGACAATCTTTGATCCGTCTTGAAAAAACTTGTTCTAAGTAGAAACTTATAGTAAGGTGCTCTTTAGAATATTTTGATAGAAACACAAGTGATAAATGCCAAACAAAACGTAAGAAGAAATATTAGAGTGATTAGTGACAATGACAGATGTTTATACTATATAAGTTCAATTTAATGTATGCTTATACTAAGTTTTCATTAGTGACAATGACAGATGTTTATACTATATAAGTTCAATTTAATGTATGCTTATACTAAGTTTTCATTAGTGACAATGACAGATGTTTATACTATATAAGTTCAATTTAATGTATGCTTATACTAAGTTTTCATTAGTGACAATGACAGATGTTTATACTATATAAGTTCAATTTAATGTATGCTTATACTAAGTTTTCATTTAATGTGTGTATCGGGAAAAATCAAGTTAATATTTGGAATTAAATAAGTGCTGACACGTCAAAACACGTGGATCAATAACAGAAAGGCAGCTGGCAAAAGAATAGTGGAAGAGGCACGAACTTTAACAGGCACGGACAAAGATTCAAGAAAACAGAAAAGAACGGTTACTCGGACCTCTTGGTAATTTGAAGAGACATTGGAAGAATGAACCTAGATAGCAAAAGGTATAGATACATATTACCCATAATTAATGAGCATCAATGATGGAAACCGTTATAGAATCTTTACGAAACAGTTACGATTACCAATTATAACGTTACATTAAATGTCATTAATTGCTCATAATGGCTCCGTTACGAGAGGAAAGAAACATATTACTTAGAAGTAGCTATAAAAGGAGAGAAACAACATTTGTAAGGACACAGAATATTATTGGAATACAACGATTTACTTTGCTTTCTTTTACTTATTCTGCTATTGTTAAAGTCAAATTCTCTTATTCATTTTATATCTGATTATCAGTAACCCGAATTCTTCTAAAAATAAGCTTTAACCGAAATTCCTATTTTTTGGTTAAACAAATTGATTCTGTTACCGGGAATCTGATAATCATCCGCTTTCCAAATCGACTCTTTTATCAAAAACAATCATGTCGAATGTCAATGATAATAACCAACAGAATTTACCACTCCAAGAAGACCCACAACATCAACTGAGCGAACAAGGTGACAGAACTCCACCTCTTTCGCCACAACATTCTCAGCGATAAATCACGAGAGGGGACTCCTAACAGATCTAAATCAAATGAAAATGACAGACTTGCAAATGATCAAGCTATCGATGAAGCTCTTAAAAAATTAATCGCTCAACAGGTTAGCAAAAATCTCCAGGCTTTTACCAGCCAGTTGTTGGTTGCACCGCCAACACCAACTCCAAATAACAACACTTTGAAAAATCCTCGCTCTGGACTCGTTAATTCAGGCAGTGGCGGAACTCCCAGCGAATCTCGTGATGGAGAACCAGGTAACACAGTTAATTCTGATTTACAAAATTTAGAATTAACTTTGTAGAAACAGCTTAAGGAGCAGAGCGATCGCATAGAGCAAATACCTGAAGTACCATCTGTAATCAAGGGAATATATATGGACAAATATTCACAACAACCTTGGAAGCCAAGTGTTGCTCCTCTACCAATTCCGAAGATATTCAAGATGTCTGATATTCCAAAATACGATAGAACAACTGATCCACGAGACCACGTAACTACATTCACAACCGGTGTAAAGGGAAATGACTTGACCAAGCAATAAATTGAATCAGTATTGGTCAAAAAATTCGGAGAAACACTCACTAAGGGAGCATTAACATGGTACTCTCTTTTACCCGAAAATTCTATAGATTCTTTTGCTGAGCTTGCAGATTCATTTATCAAAGCACACTCGGAAGCTCAAAAGGTTGAAAAAAGAATGGAAGATATTTTCAAAATAAAGCAAGGATATACGGAGCTGCTCAGAGAATTCGTAGACAGATTCCAGCGTGAGAGGATGATGTTGCCACGTGTACCTGATAACTGGGTGGCTATGGCGTTTGCTAGTAATCTAAATGAGAAAAGTTCAGAATCTACGAGATGACTTAAGGAAAGTCTCCGAGAATTTCCAGCAACGACTTGGAATGATGTTTACAACAGATGCAGCACGAAGCAGCGGATAGAAGGGGATACCCTCACTCAGTCTCGAAAAGAGGAAAAGGTAAGTTCAAGACGCGCTGAAACTGAAAAAGGTCCGGTAAAAACAGGTACGATCCCTACATGGGACCAGCAGGAAGAGACTCGCATTCAAAATAGGATAACTTAAGGTACAATCATAGATCAAGAGATAGAGAGTTAGGTTCAGCATCAAGGTTCGGAAAAGAGCGAAACGCACGAGAGACGCGAGATGATGATAGAAGCTCGAAGGCAAAGATCGGCTGTTACAATTTTAATATTAGCATATCAGAGTTAGTAACAGTATTAAGAAGCATCGGAGATAAGGTACGATGGCCAAAGGAAATGAGATCAA